GGGCTCAGATTTTTTTACAGTGCCTCCACTACTCTATACAAAAGGACATGACATTCAAATTAACAGCTTGGGATTCTTTCAGGTAAATCCAACCTCCTCTTTTAGCATATTTAAGTAAGCATCAGTTAAAGGCAAAGTTACATGCTCTGCAATTAGTACTCATTTCTAGCATACATTTAGGTTTGCTTTGCAAGTTTGGGTAGGAGAGTCATTATTCATAGTGCATTTAAATAGAAGTTGTTGTGTGCCATCGAGTCACTTGCAACTCACAGTGACCCTATGTACAACAGCTCTGAATCCTGCTCTACCCTGAGCCAACCATATTAACTCTGACACACCTACCTCCATTACTCTAGTCATTGAGTTAATCCATTTCATAGAGGGTCTTCCTCTCTTGTACTCTTTCTTCACCCTCCCAAGCATGATATCCCTCTTCAAGGACTGGTCTTTTTAAAAAATGATCCAATTTCATCTTCTCTTCTTCATATCATGAATCTTTCCATTCATTGTATATGGCCTTAGGCCTCTGGCTGGATGAAACCTGAAAAGCCAGCCTGGCTTTTACCCTAAGCCATTCTATAAGCAACTCTTCTCCCTTCAGCTATAGTATATAAAAAATCTTTTCCTTTCATCCATTGCAGGTAATAAGCAAAATAACTAAGAATCAAACATTTAATTTTCCATATAGTTTCATTCTTTCTCTCATAAAGTCCCATTCTTCCATGAGTTGAGTCATTGTAACTCCCTACTAAAACCAACTCTTAAAAGGGACATTGTGGCAGGGGCATCTGATCACCTAGTCTAACTTCACAGTTGTAAGGAGAGAATCATTAACAGCATCAACAGCCTAATGCTGATTCCTATGAGGCAGGCATCAGGAATACCTCCAGCCTCCAAACATTTTACCAATTCTGACACCAGTCATCCCTCCCATTGCACTCTCTGCTCTTCAGCTGGGTTTAATTAATTCATTGACATGGACACACAGAACTCATACAGCATAGTCACAATTACAGGGTTTATTAGGGAAATAACAGATTACAATTCAGGATCAGAAATAATTCAGAATACAGTTCTTTAATCAGGACAGGATCTTCTCACCAGCAGACCTTCTTCGGTCCTTGAACCCTCCTTCCACCCTGTCTTTGCCTCAGTCAGGCAAGTATTTAAAGCTCTTTAGTATCACAAAAGTATTCAACAGCACTCCATTCCAATATTAAATGTCCTGCCTGAAGGCACTCAGCTCTTTTTCTCCATAGGTCCACAAGCCTACTCAGCCAGTAAGTACCTGGAGGCACTGTACAGGGAGTCTCCTGCCAAAGGCTCTCAGCTCTTTTTCTGTAAGGTGGTAACTGCCTTGCTAGTGGGCTGGAAAGTCCACTGCACCATCACATGCTGGTCTCCTGGTTCTGTTGCTGCTGTTTTTCTACCACTACTTCTCACTGTCTTGCACTGTTTCCCAGTGTTCCCTGTCAGTCAAGTCATCTAGTTCAAAAAGGTTCTTACACAGATTCAAAGGATTCACTCCACTTCTGTATCTTCATGGTGGCATTGGGGTCTCTGCTTTCTGCTAGTGTTAAGTGTAAGAGGAAAGCAAACTGACCAATCCCATTCAATAGGGTTTTAGGGTTCTATATGCCTTATTTTCATGGTCCCATCCCCACATTTGAACTACATTTGAATTATGGTGTTGGTGAAGAGTACTTAATATTCCATGGACTACCAAAAGAACAAACAAACCTGTCTTGGGGAAATGAAACCAGAATGCTCCTTAGAGGCAAGGTTGGTGAAACTTTGTCTCACATACTTTGGGTATGTTGTCAAGAGAGGCCACTCTTCAGAAAAAGACATCATTTTGGGAAAGGTGGTGGGTCAGAGAAAGAAAGGAAGACCCTCCACAAGATGGACTGACACAGTCACTGTAACCACGGGCTTAAGCAAATCAAAGATTGTGACGATGAGACAGGAGAAAGTCTCAGATCTGTTGTTCATAAGGTCACTATGAGTCATAGTCAACACTATTGCACCTAACAACATCAACATCTCCACCAGTGTGTCATGAACCATATTTGCATCATTAGCAAGCTATCCAATCCCTTTTGTGGGTCACAAGCACCTTGTGTGCTCAGTTATTTTGTGGAAATGACAAAGTCATGGCAAGAACGACATAGAAAAGCAATCCAGCACTCTGCAGCAGGAAAATAAGTTGCTATTTCCCTTTTTTGCTTCCAAAGAAGAGAACTTTCTACAGAAGTCACGGCCATTCCTGGATTGAGAATGATAGCATAATTGAGATACAAGAAATAATGTTTGGGCTCTGACTTCAACTGTGAAGAGTCTCCTAAATTCTAGGCTTATGCTTTACCTTGTTCAGCAGATTGAGAGACCAATGCCCTCAGAAGGCCCAGCAGGTCAATGGTAGAGGCAAGATTCTAAACCTGGATTCTAAGCATCCTTAGCACTCTCTTCCCAAGGAAGAAGACAAAGAGAAAATGTTTTCTGGGTCAGGCTATTTACAACTCAGCATTAATTATGCTTTCAGCAAATCTTTGTTGAGAATCTGTTGTGTGCTGGCCACTGCATTTGGGAAAGCACAGTCACCTTTCTCCCACAAGGCTAGTGTCCTTCACAAAATGGTGGTCTGGAAGTGAGTGGTCAGGATGATTCTTGCTTCTCTCTTTATCACCAAAACCAAAATCAAACCTACTGCCATTGAGTTCATTCTGACTCACGGTGATCCTTCATCAGGATAGAGGCTGTCAAGGAGGAGATGACTTCAGCTTTTTCCTCTGCAGTGGCTGATGGGTTCAAACTGCTAACCTTGTGGTTGGTAGTCCTAATTTAGCCTTTTTTGTCACTAGGATTCCTTCCAGTATTACCAATGCCTGGCAAATCAAAACTTCAGCAAATATTATTTTAACAAATGATGATTTAAAGATTATTTCTTGAACAATGACTATGTTCCAGGTCCTGTAGAAGGAGACAATCTCTTTAATAAAACAAGTTGTGAGGCTGGCATTATACTCTCATAAGGAAAGAAGCAGTTTGGAAGAGGTGAAATGACTGGCCTAAAGCCTCACAACTAGTTGCTGGTGAAGCTATAACTGGAGTCTGGCCTTCTTGCCTCTGGTTCAAGCTTCTGCCCACAGGTTTGGGCCTCCACCCAGTAACCTTGCCTTAGGCCTTCCCTGATCTGACTGGGGATTCTGGCTGAGTTTTTAATAGCCTCAAAGAAAACCAGAAATAGTAAGATTGGTCACACACAGCTTCAGATTAGTCTTAATTCAAACAAAGCTGAGATTCTATCATCTTCCTAAACAAGAATCCAGGCTAACTCAATGTAAACAGACTGGTTAAGTTCCACAGTTCTCATTTTCTGGGCACAGGACCTCATTCTTTTTTTTTTTTTTTTAATTAAAAAAAATCCATTTTTATTTTATATTGGTTTGCTTATAAAATTTATGTACACTGTGTTCACACTATTCTTCATTCACATTAGGTCACTCTTTTTTACCTAACAATCCTGGCAACATCTGTCTGGGACCTCAACTTCAGAAGGGTTAACTGTGGAGCAATCCAATTCCCCTTTTACACACAGGGCTGTGTGATTCAGATAACCCTATGGATATGGGGAAAAGGTATTTCTAAGGAAACTTTGGGAGGCTGATAACCTCCCCTCCTCCACGGTCTGGTCACAGCAGGATGAGTCCAGGAGGCAGATGAGGAAGTGGGAGTCTATCCAATTAAGTTAGCCATTATAGATTGACACCCAAGGTCTTGATTACCAGATATGTTCCCTCCACTGCCTTGCTGTCTCCTCCTCCTTTTGTCTTCATGGGCTATCTTTCAGCATCTGTTTATTTCTAACCCATTAGACCTTTTGTAATCCAGAGATTCTAATCCTGACCTTCACAAAGCCCTCACTCCTCTAAGGGTCCTAGCCTTCCTATGGGTGATCTAGGGGCCCTTGAATATCTCCTGGTTCCTTTCCAGCATAAAGCCCTTGCTCCTTGATCTTAATACTATGTGCCAGAGTCGTGGTTTGCTTTATTACTATATTTTTCCCTTTTCAGAGCAACTCTCTACTTTGGCCAGCCACCTGAGGCAGGCCACAGAAAGGTATCCAACCTTTGCTCCCCGCATGCACATTCTATTCATTACGGAGAGAGGGGTGCAGGGTGAAAACAAAAGAAAAAACAACTTTCCTACTACCAAGGACATAACGCTCTCTACCCCATTATAAAACTTCACTGTGGGCCCGAACCACTTCTCCTAACCTTGCAACGCTCACAAATCGCAACTGCAGAAGCCGGCAGAAAGCAAGAGCAGCCTGTGCGCGTGCGTCGGCGCAGAGCTCTGTGTCGCCCACGTGCGCGCCCCCGACCGTAGCGCGCGCCACGGCGGGCTGGCGGGAAAGCGCGCGGGAAGCCCCCGGCTAGCTCCTTGTGTGGGGGAGGGAAGGCAAGAGCCTTTTGGAATGTGCCACTCTCGGAGAGAACGGGGGCATTTCTGTGCTCCGTTAGCGTTCCCACCACTCTCATCCGTAGCCCGATCCGTTAGTTCCCCCCGATCCTTGCCGCGATCCAGCGTCCCGCACCGCGGCCACACGCTCTCTTGCAGCAACCTAGCTCGGCCCCTTCGGTTCGGCCACTCCAGCCCTGCTCTCTGCTGAGCTCTTCCCGCCGCGGCCCGAGTGGGGCGCTACGTTGCGCGGTGGGGCCGGAAATTCCCGCGGCCTGAGTGGCGGAGGCGAAGGCGAGAGCTCGGCACCGCCTCCCTACTCCCCGGGACGGGCGGGGGCGTTGGGACCGCCGGATCTGGGGACGCCCCCTCCGCGAGGAGCCGCGAAGCCGGCGGCGGGTGGGGAGCGCCGAGAACTCGGCTGCTCCTTTCGAGCCGCTCGGCGAGCTGGGAGCCTCCGCGGCCCCCTCCACAGCCCCCTCCCCTCCGGGTCTCCGCCTCTTTCCCTCACACACCCCCTAGGGCCGCCTTAGTCCCAGGCCTTCCTGGGCTCCTCCTCCTCTTCATACTCGCCCTGCGACTGTGGTCCTCCGGTCTCCCTACGGCCTTGCTGTTTCCCTGGCGAGCCTTCATTCTCAGGTTCTCTTTTCACGCACACGCGCGCTCTCTGGGCCGTCCCCTCCTCGCCGACCCTCCTCCTTGTCCTTGCCAGCGCTGGGGTCGAGGGAGGATTGATGTCCCTTCAGCATCATGCAGCCGCCGCCGAGGAAGGTGAGGGCGCCGTTGGGGGGCTCTGGGCACTGGGTGGGCGATGCGTACAATGAACGCGGCTGGGACGACCACTGTACCCCCCCCCCCCTGCCGCGTGGGGCCGTGATCGCCCTCGCCTCGGGCTTGTCACTGAGTCGCTTGCCGACTCCAGGCGAGGGACATACATGTGAGGTTCTCTTTCTGACCTAAGGGTCGCTCCACCGCGCTGGAGACCCAAGACATTTCACAAGAGTTTCGGGTGTGCATTTGTGCGCGCGCACATCGCAATGCTGCCGGCTGCAAAGTGGATTCTAGGGGTTGCACCAAGAGGAGGCAAGGGATCCCTTCTAGCTTTGCAGAACCTCTGGGTGTTGTGATTGTTTCGTCTGCACCAGCTTTAAACCTTCTTGTCGCCACCACAGTCTTTTTGCAAATTTACAGGGGATTTGTTTCTATCCTAACCTTAAGGTTTGGCCTGCTTTTTCCACCGGGCGGCTGAGAACAAGTTGGATTAGACACCGCCCCCTACCCCAGGGGAAAACAAGAAATTAAAGATTGACCAGCTCTGCCATTTCTCCCCAAAGCGCCCCGCCACCCTCCTGGGGGGTGGGGAGGTGGAGTAAGGAGCCACGGGTGCCGCCTCACAGAAATCGAGAGCGGGGTAGTTCGTGGCGTGGACATTGCGAGCTGGGCTAGGATGGCCATGGTGGGAGTGACGGGTGGTCTGGGCTTGTCAGCAGTTTCCCCCTCGGCGCCCTTCGCTGTTTCACTGCCCTCTTCCCCCGGGGCCGCGGTTGTGTCCTTGTCTTTCGAATTCTGCAGATGGTTGCCGAGTGTCCACTCTGGGCACTTGGTGGGGGAAAGCCGATGCTACAATCTCTCCTCATGGGCAAACATCTGCTGAATGCCAAACTCAGTTCTACCTGCTTCTTCATCTTTCTCTGTTTCTGAACCCAGGTTCCTACATTTTTCTACCTAAGCGGAGAATTTGGGGGATTTATTTTGTTTTTGTATACATACCTCCCTTGTGCTCCCGATAACCTTTCTCTGGTGACCAGGGCTTCAGGCCCACCATCTCCTTAATCCTAAACCCTCTTCCCGCTGCCCTCCTCTCCTATGCTAGCAGGCGAAGCTCTTGAGAACATTTGCTGTTCTGTTTGAAGTGGAGCCTCTATGGGAACCGGCTTGCAGGGGGTGGCTTAAAAGCAGTGCATAAGTTGGAAGGTCACTTTTGCTTTCTCCTTTGTGAGAAAAATTGTGATTTGATGCACTGTTAGCCAGTCAAGGGCATCATCCTGATACTGTACGTGTTTTATCTCAGCCATTATGGAATAATTTATTTGGTAGATGCACATTTCATGACTGTAAATTTCAATTATTAGCTTTAGGTGTTCTTGTGCTTCTTTTCCTGTCAATGCTCTATTGACCTCTCCAGGCTTTTAACTGTCTTTTGGGAGAAATAGAAGATAGGCTCTTTTAAAACTGTAAGACCTAGATATGTACTGAGCTTGTACAGGAAATAGGATGACTGTCAAGTTTATTTTGCATCACCTTATCTGTCATTTTTGTGCACATGTGATTCTTGGGTTCCCTCAGCCTCAGTTTCAGGTTGTTTGGCCAGGGTTTTTTGTTCCTTAATTTAATACAAGTCTTCTATAAATTAGATGAGTAATAGCATAATAGTCTTCTAGGGTAGACAAGTATTTCTCTCAAGTAAATATTTTTCACTATTAAAATTCCATTAAGGCCTTCAAATATATGGTATGTTTCAGGTGAAAGTTACTCAAGAACTGAAAAACATTCAAGTTGAGCAGATGACCAGACTTCAAGCCAAGCATCAAGCAGAGTGTGATTTGCTTGAAGATATGAGGTAAGATTACACAGTAAATGCAATACTTTGAGACCTCCACTCAGTTTCCAAGAACCTTTTAGTTACCAAACATCAGGAACTGCTGATGGAATTTCCTTTTGGATTTCCTGTTTTAAGTCTGTTAGAGCTTTGACTCAGCTGGAAATTATAACTGGAACTAACACAATGCAAACTTTTTTCTTTTGGTAGGGGCACTTGAAATCTTTTTCATAACACACACTCTTATGAAAAAACAAAGGGTCTTAAAAGTTTTCGGTAAAATTATAGCCATTGAAATAGAAATGCTTAAATATATAAAAAGTCTGTCCACTGAATTATAGCAATTATTTATTGATCTTAAGTTAAATAGGTTTCTAAAACTGACTTCTGTATTTAATGGTTCATATCTTTATGAGCCAATCAACTTTAGATAATACTAGCAATATTTGTTAAGACATGGCAGAGCTTTATTTTGAATGCTAAATTTACTATGAAATGTATCATATTATCATTTTTACATAGTTAACCCTTGTTATTAAACAAGATAACTTTGAGTTCAATAGATGAGACATTTTGCCAACATTGAAAATAAATACTATATTGAAAGAAATGCCATTTATTTGGCAATCCTTTAATATCATCTTGTAATACAAACTGATGGTTCAACATTCATTTTATTGTAAGGATGAAAGATGATTTGCATGTTGAAGCTGAGTGGCTCTAATTCTTAATTTGCCTTTATGAATACATTTATTAAATTGGAATTGGGTCTGTAAGCCTCATTAGTTGTCTGTTTTCCTGTGGTGTACTAACTTCATATTAGTTTTGTGATTGTGTATTATTTTATCATAATGATAGTTAATTTTATTAACTGTGTATCATGATAAATGATATCTGTTGGATAGTCTCATTGTAACACAAATATTTTAGTGTAAGAATTCCTTTTTTCCTTTTAAGATTTGAATTTAGGTATTTGTGCACATTTCTCTTGCATACCTGTCTTTTCAGGGTTTCTAAGATTTACATCTATAGTCTCATTCAGACTTAGATATTCCAAGGTTATTTTTTTTTACAAAAATATACTCTTTTTTCATTTATATTTGCTTTTTTTTTTTCTTTTGGCTACTAGAAATTTTTAGGCTTAAAAAATTCCTATGGAAGATATCAGAATTCTTCATATTAAATGCAAGGTTAAAAATGACATCTATTAAGTATATATAAGGTTTTTAGTAAAAATCTCTATATGAAGAAAGTGATCCATTTTAAAGACAATTCATTAAAGCCAAATTGGTCAATGAATAAAGATCCTGGATGGAGTCTTGATAGTAATTGATCTTTGAGGCACGTTGAATATATCTTCTAAAGGCTTCTTGATTACATTCTTTTTCTAATGATTGCCTGTAATTTAGTTTAGAGACTTAATATCAAAGTCATTTTCATTTTTTTTCCTCTCTCAGAACTAAAACTTATTGCCATGTAGTTGGCATTGACTTATAGCCTAACTCTTCAGCAGGTTTCCAGGGAGGATTAACAGTGCAGAGCCACCAGAGTTCCCTTTTTGTATCTGCTGTACTCTTTATTTAGACTGGTAGAAATGGACACTGGAGCCAGACTGTCCTGGGTTTGTGTTCAGGTTCTGTTATCTACTACCTGAGCTGATATCTGGAGGGTGACATCCTTACCAGCCTTCAGTTTTCTTATCTTTCAAATGGGATAGTAATGACCTTTATTTACAGTGTAGTTGTACAGTTAAAATGCAAAACAAGATATGTCACAGGATCACTACTAAGTTGATTTCTTTTGCTCCTGTTCCTCTTGTGTAGTTGTTTGTATTACAATTTGGTGACCACCACATTTCACTTGTAATTATGCAGTAATATTCTAATTATTAAAGTAATTTACTCATATTTTCCACACTCTAATCACTCCTTTTAAATATTTCTTCCACATTGCCATCAATTAGCTTTCTAAAAACTTTTTTTTTTATATATGTCTGAATCTTTGTGGCCTTTTGGATAAGGATCAAACATCTTGTCACAGCTGTATGGTCTTCCATGGACTAAATTGTACATTGTAACTATATGATCCTCTACAACCTCCATAGCCATGTAGTTCTCCACAGTTTCTTGGATAAAGATCAAACACCTTGTTAAAGTTATAAGAGCTTTCACAACCTAGGTGCAAGCCTCTTTTCTTGGCATAATTACCACAATTTCATGCCCCAGCATGCTTCTTCCTTATCTGCCTTGCTCTGGACACTCAGGACTTTTGATTCTGCTCCCTGCATTCATGCCTTTATTTGTGCTGGCCCCTTTGCCTGTTAAACTCTTCCTCCCCCTTTTTCACCTGACAAATTACAGTTACTTCTAACTGCAAGTTGGTTGTTCTCTTCTTTCACAAAGAATTTTTATTTCACTCATGTTTCTGACCTCCCCAACCTCATATGAATTGAGGTACCATTTAAGTTGGCAAAATTGCCATATAAATGAAATAGTTACATTTATATGTACCTTATTTGTCCTTCTTCTTGTTGTTGTTATGTGCCGTGAAGTTGCCTGTGATGCATAGTGACCCTATGTATAGCAGCTCCGAACCCTCCCTTGTTCTGATCCAGTCTCACTAATTCAGACACACCAACCCCAATTGCCCCAGTTACTCTATCAATCCATCTCATTCAGGGTCTTCCTCTTCTGCACTTTCCTTCCACTCTTCCAAGAATGATGTCCTTCTCTAAGGACTGGTCTCTCCTGGCCATGTGCACAAAGTATGTGAGACGGAGCTTTACAATCCTAGCCTCCAAGGAGAAACTTGGTTTTACTTTCTTCAAGACAGACTTGTTTGTTTTCTCGGCAGTCCATGGTACGTTCAAGACTCTTCTCCATACTTTGGAGAGATTGTATACTAACTGTTTCCTTTTGATTTTTGCTGGCAAAGGTAGACAAGTATACTTTTCTAAACTTACTATTTCACTTTGCTTTCCAAGGTACCTTCCAAGTAGGTCTCTAAATATGTGATATGCTAAGAAGAGTCAGTAAAGAAAGTTTCTTTGCAGGGACCTAGACTACAAGAACTACCTTTTTAGCAGACATTTTAGTAGATTACTATAAAAGATGGGAAAATGATAGAATTTTAGAGTCCGATGGACACTGTTTATTTAGTTTGTTCCTTTTTTGTTTTTAACCTGTGAGCTTTGATCTTTAATTTTATAATTTGCCAACACAGAGGTATTTTGAGGGTGAGTTTTCATTATTAAACTTGCTCAAAAGTTAATAATTTCATTGAGGAATCATTAGTAATAAATTTCTTTGAAGAAAATATATTGAGCAAAAAGAGTAGAAATTTATAAAAAGAAATATGCTTATTTCATCTGGGAACTTCTATTTATAAGTAAAATATCTTGATCTTTCTGTAAGCTTAATTTAAATAAATTTTTAATTTTTTTTACATTGTGTTTGATATAATAATTTTCTTACCATTTTGTATAAAAATGGAAACAGGCCCAGCAAATTTAAGTGGCTCTTGTAAATGAGAACTCTAAATGATGTCTCCTAATTTCTAGGTTAGTACAAAAATGCATTTTTTCTTTATAAAAATTTTTTTAATTAATTTTAATGAAAGTTTACGGAGACTTTGGATTTCCATTCATTCATTGTTGCACACTTTTCTTCCTGCCCACCCCTCCTCCATCAGTTCCCCTTTCTCTTTCTTTCATTGTCATACAATTCCCCCTCCCAGTCCACTCCAGTATGCAGCTTTCATTCTGGACTCTTGTCATGACAATAATACCTAATCATATATTCCTCCTAAACAGTTCTCTCCCTCGTCTGTTTCAATGCTTTGTAGATTATTTATCCCCTGTTTTCTTACTTTCCCCCCAAAGCCGATGTCAGTCCTACTTTACAACATTGACATTATGCAGTATTTTTCCTTTTGTGACTGAGATATTTCACTCAGCATAATGTCCTCCAGGGTCACCCATTTTGTATAATATTTAATGAGCTCTTTGTTTTTCAATGCAGCATAGTATTCCATTGTGTGAATATACCACAGCTTCTCTACCCATTCTTTTGTTGATGGGCACTTGGGTTGTTTCCAGCTCTTTGCTATTATGAACAAAGCTGCATTAAACATGGCTGTGCATATATCTGCTTGGGTTTTAATGAAAATTTTTTAATTATAGTTCTCACTCAAATTCCTACTGTCCTGCTCGCAGCTCCCTGCTCGTCACTCCCACTCAAAAAAAATGCATTTTTATCTAATAATTTATTTTCTTGATTTTTACTTTCTGTACATTTCAAAGTGCAACTAGGATGCACCTTGAAGGAAGGACGGTAAAGCTTTGTCTCAGTTAACTTTGAGCATGTTGTTAGGAAGGTCATTCCTTGGAAAAGGACATCATACTGGGAAAGGTGGAGGGTCAGTGAAAAAGAGAGAACAAGACGGATTCACCAGTGACTTCCTCATGTATATCAGAGATGATGAGGACAGCACAGGGTAAGACCTGTAACCTAAGACCAGATCTGCTGTTCATAAGGTTGCTGTGAATCATGGTCGACTCAGTGATATCTAACAACAACAAGACTTTTAAGAGTTTCATTACTTTAAAGAATGCTGGGGCGGGGGGGGGGGAAGAATGCTGAATATGTAATTTTGCACAAATGGTCTGAAAAATGAAAACTGACTCATGAAGCACCTGTTGCTGGCACTTCAAAGTCTAGAGACTTCAAATGAAGAATAACTGTATTGTGTAATGTCTGCTCTAAACTACAGGTCATGACAATCACTGGGAATTGATTCTAAAGTCTGTTAAAGATGGAGTGAGACAGACTTTTTTTCATGTCTCAGCAACTATTGAACCTATAAAGGAACCTTGAAGGTGATGTAGTCCTAACATTTTTGTTTGTTTTTTAAGCATATTTTGTCATTTCTAAGTGATGTTGAGTTGACTCCAACTCATAGTGACCCTGTGTATGACAGATTGAAACCTTGCCTTACAAGGTTTCCTCCTGTTGCATCTTCAT